GCAGTCTTACATATTTGTTTAATATGTGCGTTGAAGGACATGTCCTGGTCAAAAATGACTCCAAGGTTCCTCACAGTGTTACTGGAGACCAAGGTAATGCCATCCAGAGGAAGAGTCTGGTTAAAAACTGCATTTCTAGTATTTTTAGAGCCGAGTACAATAACCTTAGTTTTAAGTAACGCTTTATCTTCTGCCACCTTAAAGGCCTGTGGTATGTAGGCAATTAATAGGGACTGAATGTTTAAGATTGAAGCAGATCTCTTCGTAGGAATGGGGTCTAAAAGTCACGTTGATGGTTTGGAGGAAGTAATTGGTGAAGTTAACTCAGAAAGATCAATTGGAGAAAAAGAGTTAAATAAATAAAGTGGTAGTGAAGCAGCTGTAGAAAATGTTACATTTCTCCTTTTCTCCTTGCAGTGTGAGCGCTCCTCACAAACACACATCTGCAGATGATCAGCCAGCTGTTTTACATCTACTCTAACCAGAGAATTTTCCAGCTAAAAGGAAGGTTGGCTTGTTGTGCATAGTCCACAAGCAGATATAGAGTAAAGCATTAACAAATCGTAGGACTTCTCGGAACAGTGTCTGAGAAATAAGGTCTGATGGACACAGAGAGGGTCAAAGTAAATGTCAAAAGTACTAAAACTAGCTTTATGTAATGATACATCTTTGAAATTCTTATAAGTAAAGTTTTCTTTAATGGTTAAAACTTCATTTTTTAAGTAGTTCAGAAAGTCTTTACTACTTAAGGTTAAAGGAATACTTGGTTAAACTGACCTCTAAGTCTTTGTTCTTATTTTCTCCAGTTAAGGCTGAATAGTAAGATGTGTTAGCTTTATGAAAAGCTTTTTATTGAACAGCAAACTCTTTCTCTAGGCTAAATAAACATCTTTTAAATTAGTGAGATTCAATTTCCTCTTTAAGTTCTGTGTTTGTGAGTTTTACCGGGGACACAAGCATTTCTGATTTCTTGCTTTCTTCTGCAGAGGAGCCAAAGTCCAGGGCCGTACACAGTGAGGAAGCAAAACTATTATAGAGATATTCAACCTTTCTGGAAGTAGATTAGTAGCTGCTCTGTACTGTGTTGGCACGTGGCCTTGAAGAAGTTAACAGCAGAGGAATTACACCCTTAAAATCCGTTACAGCACTTTTCCAAAAGACATCTTCAGTAATGACATTTATTCCTCACTGTGTACCCCTTTATGCTAAATTTAAATGTTATTGATCCGACAAAAGGTTTTCAGGGAATACTGTAAGATGTTCAAATTGTATGCCATATTTCAGATCAAGATCCAGGATGTAATAAAGTGGTTGTGTGTTCAGTGAAGCCGACTGAGTCTATGATTTTATGTATCTTTGTCAGTGGCAGGTTTTCCATACCCCAGTGCAGGAGCAGCTGTTGCCTATAGAGGGGCTCATTTGAGAGGCAGGGGCCGTGCCATCTACAACACGTTCCGTGCTGCACCTCCACCTCCACCTATCCCCACCTATGGAACGTGAGTTTTTGCTAACATACAAAGACATTGATGTGATAACAGGGAGTGGAAAACAAAAACACCTTCTAATAGAGCAGGAAATTGCTAGACTGTTTTTGTGTGTGTTTCAGGACATGAAGGCACTGAAGAAGAAAAATAATAAATTAATAGTGTAAAATAAAGGAGTCATAAGAAGAAATAAAGGTCAAGAAGGCAGCAGGAGAGGAATGGTGCAGGCTGGTCATATCCACTGAATAAATAATTTAACCTGTGTGGTACATGCACTGCTCCAAAAATTGTAGTTTTAATCAGAGTCAGTTCTGCCAGTGTGGGTTGTTAATCCCCAAACAGGAGTGGTTTTACAGGTGCATGCCCTCGATATTTGTTCCTTTCTCATCGTTTCTGTTTTTTACAAGTTTGTATTTGGCTCGGTCAGTGTCGATACTGGGAGCATAAGGCGATACCTGGACCATGTAGAGGTTCTACAGGTAATCCACTCCTTCAGGATGACACATGGTGTCCATGGTGGCCAGAAGGTTTGCTGTGTGTGGCCCGGTTTGCTAACCTTGGCATCTCTGTGGGGGGTGGTATGCTATGTTGGGGTGGGACCTATGTTGTTTGCTATGTTGAGATAAGGGGACTCTTCTTCATGTGTTGATCTAGAGAGATCCTGCCAGTTCTTTCCAAGTTGGCTCTCTGGCTCCTTCTCTTTTCCTTCTTTTCTCTTTTCCATGCATTGTGCTGGCTGCTGTGGTCCTGGGGTGTCCTCCCTGCCTTCAGGTTGGCACCTTTTGCGGCTGGTCCTCTTGCGCCTTAGGGGGTGGGCCAAGGTGCCTGGTTTGTGCTGCGTTCTGGGCCCTTCTCTCTGGGTGCCCTTTCTACATCTGTGGGCCCAGGATGTGTTGCTTGTGCTGCACTGCACAATGTCTTAAAGACATAAAGACCAGGATGGTCTTTATGTAAGACTGCTTTCTTCCATTTGTGCAACATCTCTTAACTTAGAAATATCCTGCCTCTGAGTGACGCTGAAAAACTAGTTCATGCATTTATTACTTCAGCCTTCAGTTAATCCAAACCCTGTGATTGTTGTTGATGATGTGCACACATCTCTTCATCAAAGTTTAATCACAACAATGCATATTTGACAAGTTCAATGGACTTCATTGGCTTCCATCCTATTTGAATCCAGTAATCAACTTTGGGATGTACTGTAATGTGATTTTCAGAGGATGAATATCTGCACAAGTTATGTGAAGCAATCAGAAAGTGGAATCTCAAAAGAAGGCTCTTTGTAAGCCCATGCCACCAAAATGAGGCTGTTTAGAGCCCAACAGGCGGTCGTGTCCTGTACGGTCATCCTAATGAAGTCCTTGCAGGTACTGTTTGCTCGAGGAGAATATCAGGAAATCTAATTACCTTTAATGTCAGTTTACCAGATGTTGTCAGATCATCTATGATGTCATTTAGTTAGGACATTTTTCAGTATGAAAACCCGTCACCCTGTCAGTTCTGTATATTTCAATGTTAAATATATGCTTAATATTTGATATTCTATGTCAACAGTGTGGTCTACCAGGATGGATTTTATGGGGCAGAAATATATGTAAGTCAAAGCCCAATGATATGCATTTATATTTCATTTCTGTGTAGTTGCAAGATTGATTTTTAAGCATTTCTTCTAATAATGACCAACTGGCCAAGACAGTAGTCTGGATTTGATGTTGAATTTTGAAGATAATCTCTTCTAATCTGTAATGAGAGCGATTTGAAATTGTTCTGTTTCTCTTCAGGGAGGATATGCAGCCTACAGATATGCACAGCCAGCTGGTACTGCTGCAGCTGCTTATAGTGACAGGTACGATATTTTCTCTTCCATGTCTGAAGCCTTCTTGAAAAAACGCTCTCACAGAACAAAACTGGTCGCATCATCTTATCCTGTTTCTTACTTTATCTGGTATGCTTTCATACCATCATCTGTATGCTCATATGAAAAAGAACATTTTCATACAATTCAAATCAAATCACTTTTATTGTCACATCACATGTGCAGGTACATTGGTACAGCACATGTGAGTGAAATTCTTGTGTGCGAGCTTCACAAGCAACAGAGTTGTGCAAAATACAA